CTGTGTATGTGTGTGTGCCTGTGCCTAAGGCTCAGACTCGAGATGCACCCTGCTCGAAATGCACACTCCACAAGGTCACCCATGTGGAATGGTTGCCAAGTTCCATTGCATCTATTTGTTGTTCAAACTTCAAAACGCATACTATGTTCTTCTTGAGGCCGTTTGTCTGTGATCCGCAATGGACAAAGTCTCGCTCACCAGCAGCTAATGCACCCTGCTGTTTTTTTTGTTTTCTTTTTTTTTTTCACTGAGCTTTTTCCGCCAAAAGGAGTTCGTTCAGGACGGAGTGCCTTTTCTGTTCAACACCTGCATCATCTGGACGATACAGGGAAACACAAGCCCCCCCCCCAAACAAAAACACTATACATATATGATTAAAAAAAAAAAAGCAATGACGAATAGGTTCCAGAACAACCATTCGTCCAGCCACGTGCTCTTACATTTTCGTGCAAGCACCTTGTTGGCATCCTCTCCACGTGGCGGTGGCATGACTTGTGTATTTCTGCCACTAGCCGAGGGGGATGATGCAAGTCCGCAACATGCACTTCGACATGCAGGTAATCCCTATCAGCACGGGGAGGTTCCAGAACGACCCTCAACGAGACCTGCCCAGATGCTACCTTTCCCTGTGATGGGAGTTGATGAACAAGTAAGAAACAGAACATGAAGTTAAAAACTCACATACAGAGTATTTACCATGTGTTTCGACTTTCAAGTAAACAGAAAAAACAAAAGAACATTGATCGTCCAAATCCAAGGGCAGATGCAGCTCTTATGGCAACACAGCCATTTAATCATAGTGACCCAAGCTTCAAACAAAGTAAGAGAAAACAAAAAGAAAAGGGCTTATAAGTTATAATTAATCCTTATATGCAGACTCAAGTACCAACCTCACTGCCCTGCACCTCTGTGTCAGGAATTGACGATGGGATAAGAAGTCAAGTGCTTATGCAGACTCAATGACCAACTTCACCGCACCTGTGACTCTAACGGTCTAACCAATAGAAGGAGCATCCGCAGGACCTAGTAGGGGGGGGTGCTCATATCACCCCTCGTAATAGGAACACGGGCTCTTTGCTAAAAAAAAAAAAAAAAAAACATCAATTGAGGAAGACATTGCAGATGTGAACGTATACCATCTTGGGTATCAGATGATAAACTCCCTGTCGCCAACGTAGACCAGCCTGGGTATCAGACGATAACCCCCCTGCCTCCAACGTCAACCCACATCCCCCCATCCCCCTTCCTCCGAAAAAAAAAAAAAAAAACATCAATTGAGGAAGACATTGCAGATGTGAATGTATACCATCTTGGGTATCAGATGATAAACTCCTTGTCGCCAACGTCTACCAGCCTGGGTATCAGACGATAAACTCCCTGCCTCCAACGTCAACCCCCATCCCCCCATCCCCCTTCCTCCACCCCCAGCCCCCATCCCCCCACACAGTATCTGCATGCCCCCAACCAAGCAAGAGAGCTCCAGCTTACCTATACAACCTGCCGCGGCGCCCTCATCATATTTCTTGAGAATGCCATTGTCAACCATGCCGCCTCTGATACCTGGACCATGCATAGACCCCTTCTCAATTACCGATGAGATTGTCAGTGCTTTCCTATTACTAGGTCCCTTTCGGGTTAGGCAGGTACTATGCACCTGGTATTTCTTAGGAAGTTCTGACACTTCCCCTCCCCACATTTTTTCTTTTTTTATTTTTCAATGAAACATTGCTCCAAATTCCTCCAATCTATTCATGCGAAGCAACACGTGCTGGGAAGCAGTCCCACAATGCCCTTACAAAAATTATACAGAACAGCTGCGACACCCGGGTCATTACCCGGCTTCGGCTGTGAACTACTGAGCTCAGTATGGAAAACTTCTGGAGAAGTGAGGCATGCTATGGACGTACCTAATACAACCGGCGACTGTTAGGAACTTCTTTTGAAGACCGTTTGAGAAAAACACAGTCAACCCAGCGAGACCAAACCTCATTCAGACCCCCACTCCCCACTCCGGCAAGACTGTCACTAAAGAGCCACCATCTCTGCACCAGCTTGCTCTCCAAACCACCCTGATGGCTCAAGGCACTCTCAGAGCGCATGCAACCTTCTCCTATTACCCTCTATGCCTCACTTAGACTAGGCAAGGAGGCAGCCAACAACCTCCTCTCCATCCGGATCAAGATTTACTCGTCCTAATGGCACTCGCCTACAACCCTTGCACCCCCAACAAGGGAAAGTAAGCTGAGGTAAGACCTACCATACTGCCGACCAAACCCACCGCAAACGACAAAAGAGGCTACCCCCCCTCCATCATCGAAGAGGTGACCAGACAGCATCTGACAGCCTCATCCAGACTCTGTTATCAAAGTCACCCCAACTCCATCTTCGTAAAGTGCCAGATCAGTCCCTACCATTGAGAGTCGAGTAGGATCCCAGTTCTCAACGCTTGACCTCCATGCAAGGCTGTGTCTAGGTCATGGAAGGGGCAGTACCTCGAGCCGCCCCACTCTGTCTTCTTAAAGAGCCTGAAGGGCCCGGCGCATGACAGCAAAGAGGAACGCTGTCCTCAACGAAAAGCCCTTTATCGGTCGTCAACGAGCTCCGATCGCAGTGGCAACAATTGGAAGACATTTTGATTTTGACAAAAACCTCACCATATAAGGCCATCAAAGGACATTGCACATGCTGAACCCCTCCAATGACCAACCACTCCTGCCAGGACAGGAAGGGAGGAGGGAGCACGCACCCTTCTCTGCCGCCGTAGTAGACAGGCCCCTCGCCACTACCTGGCTCTGCCGAGAGCTAGTACCGGCCCAATGTACCAACCTCTAACCCCCCAGGAGCGGACAGTTCCCTCCAATGTGTCTCCCTCGCAGGATAGTGCTCCCCACCCGACACCAACGTGTAATTATTCATTAATGATATATAGAACGAAAGCTAAGAAAGGCCACACCGTGGAAGTTGAAGGTTCCCCCTCGCACCTATCACCCTCATCCTTTAAACGACCCCCCCGCCGGGCCCCACACTGCCTCCACTGAAAGAAGTCGCCCTCTCCTCACGGCCCCTGCGAAGGACGCCACAATCCACCCGCACTTCTGCAGAGGCATACAGTTCCCTCCAAAAGCATGCCTCGGCAGAGCAGGGATTCCCCTTGTTCAATCCATCCCACTCTCCTCAGAAGAACAACCCACTCCACATCCTCTCCTCAAGAGAACGACCTCTTGTTACCCTCTGCCTCCGCCAGGGTTAATCTGTACCTCAAAGATCAACCCCAGCACCAGAACAGGGCAACCCCTCTACTCCGTCCCTGCCCCTCAGAGACATACACTACCCACCTTGTGTAATGCCGCCGTCATTGCAGGTTAGTGCTGCCCGGCTCAGTCAGGCAGCCCGACCCTCAAAGTGGTGACCAAAACCAAATTGCAGTGCCGGAAGAAAGTCACATATATAGATCGAAGTAAAGAAAAAGTTCGAGATACAGATCCGGATGATGACTAAGCAGCACAGATGTATTTAACTGCCTTAAGAGATTGCAGATAAACAGAACCAAATCATATGCCCTAAGTTATTGCAGGATTCATTCCAACAAGGACGTGATTTGTGAATCTATTTAGGGACGTGGATGTGACGGATCAGAGAGCAAATGAAACCACACTAACATATAGGATGGAAATGATTCAAATGAGTGAAAAAGAGAGAGAAATATATGTATGAACCGAACTGAGATTGCAATAGAGTCTTGCGGTCGTGATCGAATTGTCAAGAGTAATGAAAGGTAAGTAAGAGTTCATACGAAAGCGCGCACAGATAGTGAATGTACAAAGCAGTGCATGGCGACAAAATTGGAGACCAGCATATCATATACACAAAAAAGAACTAACGAGAACGGCAGATCTTGAGATTATGAGAAGAAAACGAACTTACGATTGATCGCAGATCACATCTGGGATAGAAACAACCGTCCCTCCATCTCTATTTCACCCTCTTGAATCTGCTCGTGCCACACCATCGCTCCTTGAAATCCTCACCATGGCAAGTAGCCACCCCTGATGCAAAACTGCTCCCAACATCCCCAAGATAGCCATCAACTGTCCTAGCACAACCCTCCACTTCAATACAAGTAAGAGGAAACGTTCCTTTGATAACCAACCGTGCTAGCACAACCCTCCACTTCAGATCCAAAGCCTGCCCCATGGCAATCATGCTGCATCGTGATTAGTATCGTCGCGCCTGCTGACAAGGTCTTGCAGAGTGCTAGGACTGAAGATGAAGATCCTCGGTAAATCGCCAAAAGCGGCCACAGCAGAATAGAGAAAGGAAAGAGGGAGAGGGATGGACAAAACCGGGGAGAGCAAAAAATCAATGAAACCACCACGGAATCTGTGGTTCCCACCATGACTCCTCCTCCGGAGCATACGAGAATGGAAGGTTCTGGTAGGAGGTACCACATCCCACGCTCAGTTAAAATGATGAAGAAAACACGTCCTCGTCTCCTTCCATAACCTGCGTCTGCAGCATCATTCCACATGCCCCGAACGTCCATGCGAACGACATCTTACCTTGCACGAGTCACCTTCCATGCCGGCCATGGCCTATGTCCGCAGTGGCGCTCCCCGTAATGAGCCAGCCATCGAGGTCGTATCATCCCTAGGCGCGCAGGAGGAAGCATTCGCCATCGACGGTCACAAAAGGAGTGGCCTGCCAGTGTGAATAGGGCTGCAGCGCAGCGCTCCGGACCGCGCCGCCACTTTCCCTCCTCACCCATACAGCAGGTATCGCATTTTGGCCACTCTCACATCTGGTCCTGACCATCGCAGCTCCCAATCCTTTCTTCAGCGACTAGCACCCTCGACCTGTAAGTGATCTATACTGCCTTCTTGACCGCCACTCAGTTTGTCAACGTTATTCTGTTTCGCTTTCCAGCCTTGGCAAGCCAAGCAAGTAGCATATTAGCCATCAAGGATAAATCTCACATGTTGACAAATGCTTGGCTTTACAATCGGTACTGTGTGTTCTGAACTATTTTCCACTGCTCGCCAATTGATGGCGCAATAGCACGCCTAAGGCATCAAATGCGCACTCCCTGCGAAACCATCTCTCTCAGACAAGCTAGGATATGTTAAATCATAACAGTGTTATGCCTATACATGCCTGCTGCTATGTCATATGCATTGCCCCTGAGGGTTGTGATGTTCCTGCACTCTGGGACATGGAGGCTGCACGATGATGAACACCTATTTTTTGTATTCCCCGGATTTCTTCCATGACACCATTCATGTCGGGTCTGTGCGCTAGAAGATCACTTGTGCACTTGTGGCCGAGCATTGCCAGCTTGTACACCATATCCCATTCCTCATTCCTCAAGGAACCCATCAGCTTTGCATCAACCATGCTAGAAAATTGCTGATATGTCAGATTGGAATAGGTTAGCCACTGCCGACACCATGCCACGAGTTTGATCACCTCATTCTGCTCTCCTCTCCACTGTGCCTTCTGACCTGTAACCAGCTCCAGCAATACCACACCAAACGCGTAGACATCGTTCTTTGCAGTTAGCTGCATGCCATGTTGGTATTCTGGGGCCATATATCCAGGTGTACCGCATACCACCAGCGTGAGGACGGTCTGCCCACCTAGTGTTGTTTCAATGGTCTTCCCATCGTCCGTCGTTGAAGGTCCAGGTCTTGCAAGCCCAAAGTCAATCAGGTACGCATGCAGGGCTTCCCCCTTGCCCTTGACCAGCAGGTTGTGGCTCTTGATATCCCGATGCAGTATTGGCTCCTCCAGGCCATGATGAAGGTAATGTAAGCCCGTGGCCACTTGCTCTGCTACAGACAGTCGCTCTCTGCAGGTTAAAGGCTCCCCGGTACCATGCAGACGATCATGCAGGCTGCCGCCCTCAATAAATGGGTACACAAGAATGCACACGTGCTGATCAACAAAGTACCCCGCAAGTCTGCAAAGGTTTCTGTGCCGCACCTTGCTCAACATCTGAACCTCAGCCAAGAATTGCTTGTACTTCAGATGGTCCATTTCCCCCTTCATAACTTTGATGGCCATATCCTGGCGCTCACCGTCAATCTTCAAGAACGCCCTGTAAAGTTTTCCAAAAGCACCCCCTTGTTGCACACAATACTTGTCATTGAGATTTTCAGTTACAGCCTGGATTTCCTGAAATGAGAACTCACGGATCACATCCAAGTAAGGTTTACTCTCTCCGGGCACTGAGAACGGTTGCCCACTGGAATAAGAATTGACGGATACGACGCGCCCGGTTGTACTTGCCTCAGTACCCCCTTCTCTGTCAAGAGGCCGCATCGGTTCAGGATTCCTCTTCAACATGAAAATTGCTGCAACAATGCAAACTACCACAACGGCAACCGAACAACTAACACCGACAGCAATGACAGTGCTACTTGACCTACTTTTCGTACGAGCCTTTTGAGAAGCCTCAGGAGGAACAGATGATGGAGAAACAGAATTTGGAGAAGGCACACGAGGAGGATTTGGGGGCTCAGGAGAACCAGAGGATGGTGATGCAGAACCACATTTGTGAAGCCGTGAACTATTCAGTTGAAACACGTGAATGCCGCCAGTTGCACCCCCAGCGACCAAAAAGCTGTCATCATGTGTCAAAGTGACGCACATCCATGCCATGGGTGCACCTGTCGCAACCGTCTTCACTGCAATTACAGTGCCATTAGGTTGATCAAGCGTCATCCAGCGTATAGCACCACCACCCTCCGAGACGAAGGCATTGCAGCCGTCAGATGTCAGAGCAACATCCGAAGGACTGTCAAATTGGGCAGATGAAGCATCACCATCTCTGGAGAGGCCTTCTGAGGACCTAGTGCCAGCGATAGTGACTGTACCTCCTGTTTGAGTATCCACGCGACGTAAGACATTGTTTCCAGAATCCGCAACATACAAGCTATTCCCATTCCCGACAATGGAGTGTGGTCCATGCCTAGGGTTACTGAACCTGACCTCTGCACCATAGCTGTTATCGACATAGCCTTCACCAGAGGTAATCTGACCACTGAAACCAGCAAGAGTTGTGATGTCAATTCTGTCAGAGATGGATGGAGAGTCCAGTGGGACGGTCATAATGCGATCATCGGATGAAACAAATAGCCGGGGAAGTGTTGGGTGCTTTGTTAAATATTGGGGACTTTTCAGACGAGTAAAATTTGCTGCAGGTCTGCCATTGAGGTTGATTTTCCGAATCAGCTCATTGTTCACATCTGCAACGAGCAACGTTGAGTTGTCCACCAGTGACAAGCCCATCAAAACTGAGGAGTTTGTTGACAAAGGGTTTGCATCAAGAGGCCATGGACCAGCCAGCTTTTCAATTGTCCTTCCTGATGACGATCCTCCTGACGGCATTGCCACTTGCTTCACAGCAGATTGCACGGTAGGAATGTCAAATGTCTGATTTAATGCAACTTCCACATAGTAGACTGTGTTCTCGTCTTGCGAAATAACTAGCTGCCAGATGAACGGAAGGAAAGAATCTGTATACTTGTCTTCTCTAGAGACAAGGAGATCACCACGATATTGAAGAGGGGATCCAACCACAGCCTCCACAACAGGGGTACCACTGGATGACCCCTGAAGTTTCCGTCTTTGTATCAAGGCGATTGTCCTTCTGAGATTGTCTGGTAGATCGTACTTGTCCTGTGATGACCGAGAACCAGGCATGTGGCAATGAACATAGATAAAAAAGATGCACACCACCCCAATAAGTGCTCCCGAAAAACGACCCATGCAAGCCATAATTGCTGTCTCTGTCTGTCTGTGTCCGTCTGTCTTCCAGTCTGTCTGTCTGTCTGTCTGTCTCTGTCTCTCTCTCTCTCTCTCTCTCTCTCTCTCTCTCTCTCTCTCTCTCTCTCTCTCTCTCTCTC